GTCCCGGGGCGCGACGCTTAGGTTCGAGGATGAACCCGAGCAGGATGCCCAGCCGAGAAATGAAGTGGCTAACCCGAGCAAAAGGCAGCTGATTTCTTTCTTTGATGTAGATTCTTTGTATACTGTGGGGCCAGGAAGTATAATGAGCGCCAATATTTCAAGAATGCGTCGGAGGACCAGCGTCCCGTGGCTTTCACCACATGAGGCGGTACTCCTCGGAGTAGTAACTCCGTGGTACCCCCGATCATAAAGCTGTGCCCTGTTAACTTTGGGTACCCGGCATTACCCCAGATTTCATTGCATCGAGCCAGGAACGCATTTCGCGTCAGCGGGGAGAAGGAGCTTGAATTTGAGGTGCCGTAAGAAAAGATGAAAGCTTCGGCGGGTAGCGGATTTGCAATCAAGTGCATCTGTAGGGCGCAAACCGGATTAATTAGAGCTTGTTGATCTGTGAGTATAACATCTTCTCCGTGTTTTTTGGTTTTAGTGCGCGGGAGATGAAGTTTTGCCGAGTGGTGTACGCCTGAAGCTGTGAAATCGCTTCTCGTCAGCTTGAGCAGCAAATCAGGGTCGTTTCGTGAGTTCGGAAGGAGTTCGCCAAGGTGGCACTGCCCCCAGAAGGCTGTGCATGCCACTGCGAAAACTGCTACGTCAAAGCCTGAGGAAAAATCCAGCCCCGCCCGCAGCACCGAGAGCATATCCACCGTAATTGGTGGCCTCGGGGGTTTGTTTGATGTCTGAGGGGACAGCGTGTCAACCCCCGACAGGACATAGCGCAGACGGGAACCTCCTTGCCACGGCTGTTGCTGAGCGACGTGCCAAGCCTTCAGCGCGGCCATATCATTCCGTGCGGTGGAGCCCGCGTGGAGCTCAGCATGAGAGGCTGCGTAAGCTGAGAGGACAAATTCGTGCGTCAGGAGGCGCAGCTGCGGTGGGATACCCTCTGCGTCACAAAATTTGAGAAACCTCTTGACAGCTAAGCCATAGTTTGCGAGTGTCTTGCTCTGCCAGCCGCTCTGGAATGCTAATTCCAATCTTCTCTGAGCCTGCTCCGAGAGTGGGATGGGATCTGTCTGCATGCGCACACCCGGTACTGAGCGAAAGATCTCGGGTACATCCTTAGACGGCGCCAGCCCATCCGTCTGCAGATCAGTCTGCGCAGGTTTGCTGTTTTTCTTGAGTCTTCTTTTGGACTCTGGTGCGCTCGGTTTAGTTTGTGACAGAAGCAGCTGTAGAAGGGCATGTGTTTCGCGCAATGACGGGGGAATATTGGACGAGCGCCGTGGGGGGGTCATGGTTGGCAGAAGCAGGGCCAACGATTATCAATAGTAACGTCATGGTATTCGTCATCTTCAATCTAGAGTTACAAACGAGGAAAGGCAGTACGGGATTTTAAAGGAAGAGCGCGCCCGCGTAAAACCATGTTTCGATACAGGTAGGCCTCGTGATGGGCCATCTGCTAGGTTTTCCGCTGACGGCACGTAGACCGTTGTCATCCAGATTGAATGTGTCTGGAGCAGCGAAACAATCCGTCTCAGAACACGATTCTGTTCAGGGTTCCGTGACTTTCCAGCGTCAAGGGCACCGATCACCCCTTTGTTATCAGAGCGAACAAGGAAATGAGTGTTGTGATACCCTCGATGGGTTGCCAGGAGCAGTCCAAACTCGACGGCGATCATTTCCGCCCAGCCGATCTTTCGGTTCTCGGCATCCCACCCTGGTTGTAAACGCCAAGAGAGCCAAACTGTGTCGAAGACGACACCGATACCCCAGGACGTTGAAGCGTCGACCCAAAACGGTACCGATGATAGGCATGGCGGGCGGATAAGTGTCGATCCGCAGAAATCTTGGCGCAAGACATTTCGCCACCATTTGATGTCAGCAAGGACTGTTGCATTTGGTGTGCGTTTTGAGAACTGAGAAGGCGAATGTGAGAAGGATGAGGCAAAGGCCGAGATTCCCGGGAGTCGTGCGCGACCCTCCGGCACTGCCATGGTGCAATGGACAAGTGTGCCGTGCACAGACTCGGCCTCTGTTCTTGAGAATTTCGCGCCTTTTACCCATGGCTCGAGTTTTTTGATGTACCGTAGCTTCTTCGGTTCCGGAACCTCGACTGTTTTTTGCGGTTAAATCCCAGCGAAAACCGATGTATTTGAAGATCGGATCAAAAGGAATAGTTCATCAGCAAAATAGGAAGGTGATTCTAAAACTATACAAAGGAATATAATACCTGTAAGGCTCCAATCTGCTCCAAGCTTCTGTACAATTATATATGGGAGCCCAGAGAGAATATAATCTGCCACAATATTCTGCATTCTGCTCAAATATACCACAATGCTGCTGTGAGGTTGCAATCTCCACTAGTTTTATAAAGGCTTGTAATCTTCTTTGGTGTATACATGACTTTATAACATTAGCTTTAGATTAGAAATGTTCACAGTGATTATATGCACAACAACTAAGGGTACGAGCATTCCAAAGAGACAGAAGGAAATTGATTCATTTTATTTAGCTATTCAACTATTCACCCATTGCCGCTGCTGCGTCTGCATCCGCCCACATCTTCTCAAGCGGATCAACATCATCCACCTGGTCATCACCATCTGCCAACGCAGACGACGCCATACACGATGACACCCCGAGAACACGCCTAAATTTGGGGGTCATCCAGGAGACTGAGGAGGGAGTAACACTTGCCGATTAAAGAGCGCGATGACACGCTTCTCCGTTTCCTTACGCTGGAGAGCCTTGAGTATGTAATGGTAGAATTTTTCGTAGTCGAAGAGACCGTCAATTTTGTTGTAGATCGTGACACTCGACAGCGCGAAACGGACCTGGAAGTCAATCAGTGATAGTAAATGGCAATAGAAAAAGAATTTCGCACCTGGAATGCCAGGTAGGCAATCAAGCGTGGCGTGAATGACTTGAGCCCAACGAGTACCGCGTGGCCATCTTTCCCAGACCCGCGACATCCCGTCGCCCGTGTTAATAGCGCTAGGTCCGTGGTATATGGCCTTGGCCGCCTATGATCGTCAGTACATTGCAGCAGCAGCAGTGAGATGTACATACCTGGATGAGAATCTCACTTGTCAGCAGAGACTTGAGTGCTGTATGATCGTCTTGCTGTCCGACAGGGAAGAGAAAGGCGGGGAGCTGTTCCCCGTGGATGCGAATGGTCCCCGCAACGACATCATCATGGAGGCTAAAAAAGGGTGAGCTCTGGCCAATAGGAAGCTGACATCGCACCTGGGCTGTCCCGCGTGAGCAACGAGACTCAATGGCAGGAGGAGAGCAGCAGTGCACTCGTTGCGAAAGCCGCGCTGCTCCTTGGCCAGTGTCGGTCCGTTGATCAGGCACATGACACTGACCCGAAGCCGATTGCGATCATCGTTACGGGCAGAATCGACTCCGAGTGAAATCTAGAACTCAGTCAGATGACGAAGGTCTGGGGGAATATACACGCACCTGGGCTGCAATCTCCTCCAGTGTCTCAAGGCTATTTGCGACACTGAGGAGCTTCGGCTGGAGCCCATGGAAGCGATCGCAGAGCCAGCGATAGTCAGCTGTGAGAACTTTGTCGTCTGCTCTGTGAAGTATAAGTGAGCATGTGGAGTAAGGACAACAGAGGAGTTTGCCGACGTACGACTCAGTATTCTCGTCATATTCCATATCAGTGTCGACCTTGACACCGTGAAGGATAATCGCCTCGATGTCGAGGAAGCAGCCTTGCGTATAGAGGATGGTGCGGCCATAATCGCTGAAGTTGGCAGTTGGCGAAGATGAGGAGCTGGATAGGTGTTGAGAAGAAGATGGCTGGTCGTCGTCGTTCGAGCCAGTTGGCGACGGTGACCTGGCAGTGGGAATAAGAAGCAGCGGTTAGCTCATCGTGACTTGACACAGTGACATAACACACTCACCTCTTGCGTTTCGCTGTCTTCCTCCTCTTACGGCGGCTTTTCTCCTGCACCACCTTGAGCTGAGTCTTCAGCGTGGTGATCTCAGCCAACGCGGACTGGAGGGCTGGAGAACTATCGGGGGATTTGGGGTGGGAGTCGGCTGATTGGTGGTATCGGTCAGCGGTGTGGCCATGGTCGGGCAAGTCGTTGGCGGAAGGGCTGATGGAGGGCAGATGAAGGTGGGGGACAAGAGAGTTGATGGGCAGTGATCGTCCACTGGCTCTTATAGGTGCGTGGTTTGTTTACTTGACGTGTCGCGTTGACCGACATCACATGCAGCGCGAAATTCAGCACTGCAATGGCGATCGCTCGACCGCATGCTTTGCCAGCGATCGGTTCCTGGGCTGGCCAACGCTGCTCTTGGCATGGACAGCATAGCCCTCGCTCAAGCCCTCGCTCGATCCCCAGCCGCCATTTGGCACTCCCAAGATGAACGAAGGAGTCTTACGCGGAATATCGACAAGCCTCCAGACAGCGCAATGTATGATGCTGGCCCAGAATCGGCTCCAGTCTCCTCCCCTCCTCGTTCGTCTTCCCCTCCTCGTTCGTCTTCTCCTCCGCCTCAATCATCGCTGTCCCTTCCTCCATCTGCTCAGCAATCGCCATCTCTGCCTCCTCAACCACTTACTCGACCCGACGGGCGGCCTCTGCGTGCAACACGAAAGACTTGGAAGCTGCTCGAGCAACTTCCCGAGCCTCCAGTCCTTCTTCAGCCGCCAGAACCTGCGCCCTTGGCCAACGAAGCACCAGAAACAACTACCTGGGTCTGGAATGCCATCAAGACGTCTACAAACGTCTTCGGGCTTTTCCGCGAATATCCCACCATACCAACATCGAATCCTGAAGCCAATACTGCCCTGGACGATGTCTCTGACGTCCCAGCATCTCGCGACACTGAGACGGCACCTCCTCCACCTCCACTTCCCGAATACCACCATTCTTCCCCCGAGCGATAAGCCAAGCGTGTTGAAGGGTCTCGATTTCGGTAATGTTGATGCTACTGGTCCGCCGCCAGCGCCGTTTAAGAACTGGACAACTGCTGGGATGCTAGACTGGATGTGGACCGGGTCGGCGCAGAAATCGCGGGCAGAAGGCCAACGTCTCGTCAACTTCCTGAAATCACCTTTCTTCAGCAAGGATGACATCCAGGACTTCGACTTGGATGTTGAGACTGAGCGGCTGGATCGACATTTCGCCACTTCATCATCACACGACGGGTGGAAGGAGGCCTCGGTCACGATTGCCGTTCCGGATGGGAAGGAGCACGATTCAGAAGAGGATGCTGCTCGGTTTAACGTGTCGGGACTGTGGTACCGTCCGCTTGCGAGTGCAATCAAGGCGGGAATCGAGAAGGCGGCTCCGAATACTTTTCATTATACGCCATTCAAACAGTTTTGGAAGCGTTCAGCCGACGCGGCGCCTGAACGCGTTCGAGACGAGATTTACTCGTCAGATGCGATGGTCGAGGCCTATACCGAGCTACAAAATCAGCCACGAGTAACCGGCTGCATGCTCGAGCGCATCATTGTTCCTCTCATGTTTTGGTCGGACTCGACACACCTTGCTAGCTTCGGGGATGCCGCCCTTTGGCCGCTCTACTTATTCTTTGGCAACCAGTCAAAGAATCTACGGGTCAAGCCGTCAAGTAATATGTGCCACCATGTCGCGTACTTCCCAAAGGTATGTGTATATATCCAATGATTGAATACTATGGTCTTCTTATCTCGATTCAAGCTGCCTGCTTCCTTCAGCAAGTTCTACCTGGAACTGACCGGAAAACCACCCTCTTCTGAGATGCTAACCCATGCTCGCCGCGAGCTCATGCATGCGATCTGGAGATTGCTGCTCGATGACGAATTCCTCGACGCATATAAGAATGGCATTGTATGCATGTGTGAAGATGGAATCGAGCGCCGCTGTTATCCTCGCCTATTCACTTACTCAGCAGACTATCCAGAGAAGTACTATTCTCCTCCTGTCTTCTGCTGCAGTCGACTGACGGGATTTTCAGGATCTTACTCGCTACTCTTCGCAGCCTCGGGGCTTGTCCTTGTCCTCGTTGCATGGTTCCAAAAGAGCTGATACCCGAGCTTGGAACCATCAATGATATGAAGCGGCGTGAGCGACTGGCGCGGGTCGATGACGAGCACCGTCAAGACAGAATCTCCCGAGTTCGAAAGTGGATCTATTCGTGGGCTTATGGTATCAAAGCCAAAGCTGTTGAACGCTTTTTGCAGCCTCAGTCAGAAACTCCGACGTCGGTATGTAGAGTTCAGCATGGCAACGAAGTAGTAGACCTAACCAATGCACCAGAACGCATTCTCAGATCGATTGGCAAAATTTGGCCTCAACCCTTTTCGAATGCTCGTTCCGGATTTCATGCACGAGTTTGAGCTCGGTGTATTCAAGTCGTTCTTCATACATCTCCTACGCATTCTTGCAGCCCATAACCCGCTTCTGCTGGTTGAGCTGGACCTTCGGTAAGTCCAACTGGTCTGGATGCCACGTCTAGCACCTGAGACAATCTATATAGCTTTCGACTGGTTCCTACGTTCGGCCGATGGACAGTTCGGAAATTTCCTGAGAGTGTGTCATCACTGAAAAAGTTGGCGGCATGGAACTACGAATGTATTCTGGTCGTAGGTCTGTTTCCTATCGGACCAACCGTATTCTGACAAAGTCCCTAGTGTGCGATTCCCGTAATCGATGGCCTTCTTCCCGAGCCTTACAATTCAGAAGTGCTCGATGTTCTATTCATCCTGGCCGAATGGCATGCCCTTGCAAAATTGCGGATGCATACTGACACGTCGATGGACATGCTACGAGCCTCAACGAAGGAGCTTGGTCGTCTTCTTCGTCGATTTCGTGACCATGTCTGCCCTTTTTTCGCTACCAAAGAACTGCCGACCGAGGAACGTGCTCGTGAACGTGCACAAGCTCGGAAAAAGGGGAAATCCAAGGATACTCATCGAAATCGAAAGACTATGATGGCTAAAAATGTGTCAACAACAAAGAAGGATTACAACCTGTTTACCTATAAACTCCACGCACTCGGTGACTACATCGCCAGCATCCTCTGGTTCGGCACCAGCGACTCGTACTCAACCCAACCTGTTCGTGAATTAGTGTTGTCTTCTTTTCTGTTAACCAACAGACATTCAGGGCGAACTTCGAACACCGTCGAGCTAAACGATTTTATGCTCGCACAAGTAAGAACCGTGCGGTTGGCCAGATCGCTCGTCTTGAACGACGGGAGCGGGGCCTTACCAACTTAATATCCCCCACTCAACATGCTCTCTTGGCCATGAGACGCTCAAAGCCGACACCAAACCGACAACCGAGGAAAACCCTCAAGTCAGAGGACATGGCTTATACGAGCCCTGAGCAGCATTACCATATCGCCGCTTCTAAAAGCAATCCAATTGCACTAGGGTCGTGGCTTCCGGAGCATCGCGGAGACCCAGCTACCCAGGTAATAATGCTTTCAATTTCCGCGAGACTTCTCATCTAGACACAGAACTTTCTCCCTCGTTTGCATGACCATCTTCTTGGTCGATTGCGAGAGCCGGAATTGACAGAACAACCTGCGAGCTTTACTGATGCCGACCGTCGTCAGGTTATTATTCGGAATGACCGCATTTACGAACACAAAGTCTTCCGAGTCAACTACACCACTTACGACGTGCGACGTGCTCAAGACTCACTCAACCCTCGTTACCATTCCGACATTATGACCCTCTCTCCGGAAAACGACATGACCCACCCCTTCCAATATGCTCAAATCATTGGCGTTTATCATGCCGACGTGATCCACAATGTTCCTGGAGCCAACGCTGCCGCCAAACGGATGGATTTTTTGTGGGTTCGCCGTTACCGCCTGGAACGAAGCTGGCATGGACGCGACTGCTTCAAACGACGTCGACTGTATCGCGTGCAGTTTCTTCCTCACAATGACCCCAATGCCTTTGGCTTCATCAATCCAGATGAGGTCATTCGCGCATCCCACCTGATTCCCTCCTTCCATTCTCCTAAGATAACAACACTCCTTCCAATCGACTCTATCGGGCGGTTACAGCGAGAAGGGTTAGAGGAAGGCGAGGATTGGGAATGGTACTGTGTTAACCCGTGAGTTCTGTGCTTAGTTGCAGCATTGTCTTATTCAATCAGGTTTCCCGACCGCGATATGGTCATGCGCTATCGAGGATGTGGTGTTGGTCACTTTCGAGTCAATGTCCCGGTCGAAGCAGAGCCAGCTATTGCTCACGAGCCAGAGGAAGTCTCTATACCAGAGCAAACATTCACCAACCCTGTTGTTCCTGAGCAACCTCCTTCTGCTGTTGGCGACCGTGAAGAGGTTCCTGAGGTAGGGGAGCAGGATGTTGAAGTGGAAGATGAAGACCACGGGCCAGGAAACCCGGATGATGACGATGACGAGGACAGTGAGGAAGAGGATAGTAGAATGGACTTGGAGGATGCAGCTGAGGGAGCGGTCCCTATTTATGCGGAGGCAGGTGATGTACCAATGCCTGTAGAGATTCTTGAGGGTTATGCTACATTGTAATCTGTCACTATATCTGCATAGTGTCTTGTATTCAAATATTTTACTTGATGTTGGAATATAATATAATAAGATAGTTGGTAGGAGAATAAAATATCCAGCCATATCTGAGCTAGGCATATAAGCATTTATCTTGTCTTGCAAGAGATTACATTCTTTTCCCATAGATTTCATTCTAATGCAAAGCTATATATAACAATGCCTATAAAGTGGAGATTATATAGGAAAATAAGAATCTGTGGGTTTTGCTGATGTTTTGGACGGTTTCCAGGGCCATCCGAAAGGCTCTGTGAATGCGTAGATGTCGGGGATGTTGTACAAATAGGTGTAAGGCGGTTGAGCAACAGAGGAATAGCGAAAGAAGCAAAAGTCATCAACCCACTTTTTTACAGGCCGAGTGCGCTATGAACGAGGAGTGCCGCCATTGCGTCCGCAACGTGACCGAAGATGCCGGGGGGAGCTGGAGGGCCCGAACGGTGCACAATGGTCAATATAAACTTTGTCTTTCCACCATATGACAAAGAACGGCTGCTGAGTAGGGTGGATTGGTACCCTACAGAAGGCGGCGTCGACGTCAAGCGTTGCTGCCTGTGTTCCTGGCGGGGCATCCATTACCATCAACAACATTTCAGAGAAGGTCCCCCATTCGCACGGAAAATCATCGGAGTCGATCCCTGAGTTAATCGAAGGGCGATCTTCCTCGTCGTAGGGGTATGAGAAATCTTGGACCATCCGCCACTTGTCAGGCTCGCCAGCCTTGGGAACTACGCCCAGCGGAGATGATTGAAACGGGCCTATGATGCTCTCGAGTCGTCCTGCGTCGAACGGGCCAGAGTAACGGTGAGCTGAAAGCTCAGTATTAATGTATTCATCAATTACAGACGGGTGTTCATTTGCCGAACGGCGATTGGGAGGGAGGAAAGATTCGGTAATGGAGGTATGGATACCAAAATGGACGCCCTCTCGAAGGCAGATAGGGATGTCGAAGAAACGATCTAGGAGGTTAGCGGCGCGCGCAGCGCCATCTCCCACTGATTGGGTATTAGAGGTGTGACAATGGGGAGGAAGTCAGACGACGCGACAGTCCTGTGCGCAATGGTTTTCGGACCCGCACAGGGAACAAGCGTGTCTACCGAGATTGCAGGATTGTATGCCGGGAGAGCAGCCTTTCTGACCGTTGAAGTTGAAACAGTAGCGTTGTCCGTGTTTGTCGAGGCGGTTACCGGAGCGGCGATCGTATACGAGAAAGGTTTCGCCTCCCCGCTGAGTCTTCGTTTGAGTGCACTCGCTCGTCCGGTGACCGGGCTCCCGAGATCCGCATTTGAAGCACCGAAATCGAGCACGAAAGGAAGATGAAGGAGGAGGGGAAAAGGACCGGCGCTCTGGCCCTCATACCGATCGACCGGGACGTCTGAGTGCCGAACGAAACTCGTTTGAAGGTGCCTGCGAGGATGACGCACTGGCGCGGCGGTCTGGATAGCCCCCATAGAGCTTTTGAAATTCGCCTTTGACACTGTTCCTTGCCTCCTTTGCCGTGTGTTTCACCGTTTCGCTGTCCCAAACCTTCCGTTGCCATGTCCCGAAGTCAAATTTCGCTGTTGCCCACAAGCGGCGAAGCTCCGCGTCATAAGCAACAAGAATCGGCCAATTTTCCTCGTGATTCTGGTAGTCGAGAATGGCGTTGTAGTGGATCCGAAGTCGGGGAAGAACCTCGCTCCAAATGGGCATGCTAGCCATGAGCGTAAACAACCGACAGTAGGCCTGGTGCCAGCGTGAGAGCGATAGCTGCTTGTCCGCCTCGAAGGAAAGCTCTTTGTTGATGCTAACGAGACTGTCGCCCTCCACGATTGATTAATCGACGGTCTAAGTCATTTGACGCGTGACTTGCGCCGCGTAGACAGTATTCGTCTGTCAGATAGCAGAGTGGAGGGAGTTCTCCACGCTTGATACGCTTGACGAGTGCCGGGGGTGGTGGGTATGAAACAGACCCCACCTGAGTGCCGATTTCGAAATCGACAGGCAATGTGTTGTTTGCTTCGGGCTTGTCGGTCGGTGCGGAAGGAGCAGAACCCCAATCTGGGTATCGCGATCAGGCGACAGAAAAAGGAAGAGATGAGCAATCCCGAGATATGGGCAGGGACCCGTGCGAAGGCAGAGGGGTATCGTGGAAACTCATGCGATGCAGAGGAGTATCGTTGTGGACAGAGCCAAGAGAAAGAAGTTCCGAAGGGAAGCAAGGGAGATAGGATTGCGCGACCAAGAACATACCTTTACTGTACATCTGGCCGAGGAGAGCGTTGAGCTTGTCTTTTGGCAAGCTTGCCAGAAGGGCTATCGTGCCATTTTGTTCATCCTCTTCTGGGCTTATAGCGCGATGACGTGGGACCCGTCGCGGCGGAGGGATAGGAGGAGGCTCTGAGTCAGACTCAGAGGCTGAGTCGGGGCTGTTTTCTGCGAGCAATGCCTCAAACATCGCCTCTCGCTCTCTCTGAGGAATGAGTCGGGCCCACTGGGGGCGAGAGAGAATGAGGTCTTCATTAGTGTCGATGAATTCGCCGAACATGCGACGGAGGGTGTCTCGAGAGGCGTTGGGTGGTGCATTGAGGTCGAAATATTAAGCGGCAATGAGCAGCGTGGGTTTGTCGAGGGACTTGAGGGTTTTGTTGAATGTTGGTATGTTCTCCATTGCGACGTGTGGCTTCTGTGGATGTGCGTCCGAGCGTCTTTAGCAGTGTCGTGGGAGGTGATGTGGCTGGTGAGAGACAAGCTGTGTCACACAGCCACATCACTTCACTCCACCCAAGACAGTGCACCTGTCACGCTCGCTCGACAGGTGCCGCATAAGTAGAACTGTTAAACATGTTAACCTATCTGCCTCTGAGCAACTTAGACCAGTTAAGGCCAATTGAACATGCTGAACATCATGAACATAAGTCAATGTGAACATAATGAACAATACACTGTCTCCTATACATGGAGATCTACTGAATAGTTCCTATAGATTCTAAATAGCTAAATTGAACTCTTGGTCCTCTTTATGTCTTTGCTCCTTTATCCACTCAACTAGATTCAGATCTTTCTGAAGAAGCTGTTTATGACCTGCTGCTTCAATATGTTGAGCAGTATTATTTGCCATTCTCCAGTACATGGCAGCCTTTTGTAATGCATAGGCCTTTGCTCTAATGCGGTTAGAGTTCATTTCTGTTGAGGCAAGTAAAGTCCAGGTCTCATTCATCTTGAGAAAGCTTCTCCTGACACGGAGAAGCTCTGAGACTTTCTGTTCTTTTTGTTCACGCCAGCGTAACATTTCAGCTTCAGCACGGAACCACTCAACTCGATCACCTATAAGATTTTTTTCAAATAAAATCATTTTTCCTATTAAATATAACTGACCCTCTTATAACCACTCTTCCATTTCATTCTCAGACATCTTTGTAAGCTTTCCTAACTGCCAAATCCAGCTGTTTGGGCGTTCCTCCTAAAGGGACAGTGTTTTTAGAGTGTTCTTATTTGATGCTCCACTTTTAATCCGAGGACCTATGTAAGATTTGAACAAGTTCTCTGGACTATGATTTTATCATGTGGCTGACCTGTTTGTCTCTTCTGCATCTGTGTGCCAATCTCATGAGAAGATGCAGCCTGAGATGGTTGTATATCTAAATATATCAGTTTATAAGTAGCAGATATTGTGTATTAAAGTAACTGACTAGCTTCAAGTTTATTCATATCTATGTCTTCTATGGGCTCTAGTGCAAGTGCTCTCTATTTTGAGTCACTAACTTGACGTTTGTGCATAACAGGCTTCATATATAGATCTGCATCAGTCAATTCTAGAAATTTTGAGGAACCTGTGAGAATAATCTGGGCCAGTCTAGCAGCATTGAGTGAAGCTTTATGCCGTTCTCGGCGTTGTACCGAAGAGCATTGATTGCTTTAACATTATTTTGAAGTGCTCTTAGTGCATCAAATGCTTAAGCCTTTCTCCACTGCGACTCTTTATGAGCTAAGTCGTCAAGTTTAAGATGCAAACACTCTTCTAGTGTTAGAAATGCTGATAGAAGAAATAGTTTCTCCATATGTATAGGCAGAGAATTCTTTGCTTGTGCAGCTATGTAAGGGCAACCCCGGAGGCCTGAGATCAAGGTCCTAGCAGGGGAGGATCCAAAGAGTGAATAGAAGTAAGCAAATACAAGTGAGGCTGACCTAGCAGGGGAGGATCCAAAGAGAAGAAACTCTAAGGGTCCGCCTGCTAGGTAGCGGAACTATATACTGCGCTCTTGACGCGCCAAGGTTGATCGTTGCTCCGTGCAGTATGCCTGCGCCATGTCGCAGGCCAGGTCCCAGGGGGATCGCCAGGCGGGGGCGGCGATGCGCCTGACGGAGGCGGTGATGCGATCACCGGAGTCGGAGCCGGAGTCGGGCCGGAATCAGAATCGTCTCCGAGGGGCCGAAAGGGAGGTTCCCCTGACATCACCCCCCCCCTTTGAATGCGGCGTCCCAACGCATAGACCGGAATGGAATCGAGTCGAAGGTTGCAGAGGCGATGTGCCGTGGTTTGCCAGGGTACTTACGATAGAACTCCGCGATTTTCTCCGGGGCGAAGACGCGGTCGAAGCGGACCCACTGGTCATGCGACGCGTCGTAGCCTTTCCATCTGACGAAGTAATTCAGCCGTTTATACCTCACCCTTGCGTCCAGGATTTCCTCTACTTCCCACTCCGGGACTCCGTCCTCGAGGTCCGGAGGGGGCTGGTCGTAGCCGGGCGTCCGTCGAAGGGGTCGTCTTGGGCGAGCTCGAGCTTGACGACGGGGAAGACCGGGTGGAGCTTCGAGTAGCGCGGAGGGAGGTCGAGCTTGTAGGCACCTTTGCTGATCTCCGCAACTATCCTGAATGGTCCGAGGCGGCGGTGGGAGAACTTCTCCGAGGGGCGAGTCGTCCTGATGTCAGAGGCATCCAGCCAAACACAGTCGCCAACCTGAAACTCCGGAGATGGAGTGCGTCT